TTACATGTATAAACATCTTTTATCCACTCATTCATTCATGGACAACCAAGATACTTCCACATCTTAGCTGTTGTGAGCAGTACTACAATGAAATGGAGGTGAATGGAAATGGAGGTGTCTCTTGACACACCAATTTCATTCTTTTGGAATACAAGTAGTGGGATTGTTGAATCTGATACAGAAAGTACATATTGTGTATTTTATTTTCCTCTCACTTAGTAGTGTTTTGACTTTTATAATAAATATTGAAATATTTATGAACCAAATTACACAATAATGGCTTTATATTTCATGTTTTTCTATATTAATATGTATTTAGGTTTGCATATTCCCCGTACATATTCCCCGTACATATATGAAGGACATGCATAAAACAATAAGAAGGACATGGATGCAAAAATTTTGGCAGGAGAAAATTGCACGATTGTAAATTATTTTGTTGGATACATTTTTAAATTCTCCCAAAATATTTTTTTAAGTTTTAATTAGAATAAGTCTTTGTGAGGTTTAGATCAGTTAAACTGGGTTCTTTGTGCCTGTTTACTAGTTAATACCCATTTACAGTCATGAAATATTCACCTCTGGAAGACCTGAGGCCAGAATAGTGAGGTACCTTTATCTAGGCAATTGAAATTCAAGTTTTAATATGATTTAAAGGAAGATAAATATATTTTTAAACAATTTTTTCCTTGTAAGCCATAGGTCAGTTTTGTGGTAAAACTTCCCTAAGCATTCTAAACAATTTATAAAGTATTTCAAATTTTGAATATCTTGATGTATTTATAAATCATATTCTACCAATACACATCTCAAATCATTGTACTTAACACAGAAAATGCAGCTAAAATTAGAATGAACTTTTTTCTTTCCCAAAGCATTTATTATTTGTTTGAGAAGAAGAATTTTTAAAATTTTTATGTTTAAAAATTTTTTCATCAGTGTAAACACTTTAGAAAAGAGAAAATATATTATTCCAAATTAAATTGATGAACTTGGCGCTATAAAATATCCAGTGAACATTTTTGTTAAGATTATTATTTTTTGTTAATTTCAAACACACACGAAGTTTGAATAATCAATTATTTATTTAGTTAGCTATTTAATTTTGTGCTGTAGATTGAACCCACCCAAGATTCTACCACTGAGCTATACCCCAGGTTCCTGAATTTAAAGATTTTGTTATTGATTTTCCAAGATATTTTCATCTAAATGAAATATTATAGTTTAAATTTATATCTAAAACTTATATGGAAACATCTACTTTACATGCAATTCATTTATATGCCAGAATAATTAATTAAATAATGAAATTAATTTCTATAGTACTTTTATTCAGCTCTTCTGAATACTCTGGAACTGACCTATTACTTTTCATGGTAGAGTCCCCAAAATTTGCAACAAGTTTCCTTCAGAAGTAGAAGGATTGTTGGATATAGCAATCCTGGTCCTAACTCATACTTTTATTGGCTTCTATAGAAATATATTTCAGTGAATCTGCTTTTAATAAACCACTCAAATGATTCTTGTGCCTATTTAAGTTTGAGAAACAAGTGTTAAAGGTGAAAAGCCACCGTGTCCTAATCTTTTCAGCATCAATATCTCTGGGCTTTGCTATACACTGGGAGGATCTTTGCATAGTATATAGTGAGGTTTCCAATATTGCCTCCAGGCCCAGGTGTAGAAACTGAAGCCATGGATGTCTCTACAGATTTTAAGAAAATTAGTAGTTCTGTCTTTGCCCAGAAACTGTGCATTTAAAAAAATGGCTAATAAAATATATGTATAAATATGAACAAATTAATTTCAAACACCTGCCATAACAATTACCTATATCCCAAGCGTAAGTACATTTTAGTACATTTCATAGTGGCTGGAAGTTCTATTAATTCCTTATCTTCTACAACAACTCAGCAAATAGGAGAGTCTGCATCCTCCTATTCTGTGTCATTCAGAGGTACCTTTTTTTTAGGAGTCAAATTCTGTTCTGCTCAGTTTAAAAAGACTTACAGTAAGTTTACTTTCATTCTAAGAATCAGGACAGATCATCCAAACCAGCTAAGGAAGAGGAAAGGGAGGAAGAGGAAATCCCAAGCAATGCAAGATTCCTAGTAGTGAAAATAAGCAGAAATCATAAAAGTGAGCACAAATCATAGACTTCTTCCATTGCCACTCTCCTTTTCTCAGGTACGACAGAGATATGGACCAAGTAGGTTGAACTTTAAACCATCTAGCCCCAAGTTGTCCTAAAATTAAATGTTTAAACACATTAATATTTTTTTTTCTCTTCTTCCCTTTCTTCATCTGGTTTTGTACCGTTAGGTCAAAATTTCTTATTCCCATTTCTGCTTAATATAAATGGAAAGTCAGTATTTTTTTACTGTAAAGGAGGAAAATATTTTCCATGTACTTCATACTGAAAGGATAGGGCATCCCATGCTGACTACATGAGGCAAACCTGTAGGGACCAGAGCGGGCTCTGGAATCAGCCTATCTTGGTTCTAATCCAGAAACACCACTTACAACCTGGAAGACCTCAGACAGGTTGCTTTACCTCTCTGTGCTTCATATCTTTCATCTCTAAATGGGAATAGCATTGCCTCATAGGCTTGTTAATGGGATGAAATGAGAAAAAAATATGTATAAAACCCTTAAATCTGAGCCTATATGTAGTGAACTTTTCATTTATCCTCAGTGCTGTTACTGTGTTATTGAGGCTTAAGCTGTCAGCATGATTAAGGAACCCTCCGGTGGGGTAGCCAGGCTTCTGCTTACCTTCTTTGCCTCCCACGTGTCCTCCTTTCACTTCCTATCACTCTGCTCTACTAAAGCCAGATTACTTTTTAGTCCCAAACTCTATTATCCCTTTCCTGCTTATCTTCGTGCTTGCCGCACTGCCTAGTCATCCTTCAGCATTCGTACAACCTATTTTCTATTAAGCTCCTGCCAAGTAAAATGGAATGCTGCTACGTTAGTGTCCCCTGCCAGACATTTGTTCAAAGTTCTTCATTTCTCTTTCCCTGCTTTCTCCTCTAGACTGTGAACCTTCCAAGGGCAGGAAGAATCTGTTAGAAACCCTGAGGGCCATAATACCTGGCAGCTCTCTGTTATGTAGAAGGCATTTAGAAAAAGTATGTTGAATTAAAGAGCGCTTAAAAACTCAGTCTAGTAATTCTGAAGTCATAAAATTCTATTTAAAGTACAGTCACAGGAATTGGCTTCATGACCTCTTCTGGCAGCAAATCCCATTTATTACCACAAATGGCATAAAGTCATTGTGGATATTTGTTCAAAATTCAAAGTCATTTAATCACATCTGATAAATTGAATTAAGGTCTTGGTCCTGTGAATGGAATTCAGTTCTGAATATATCTGTGATGTTTCTAGCAACACCAATGACCTCTAATGTTTCATTTCTATATATAAACATTGTTCCATTTAGTTATTTTACCAGTTTTTAAATTTATATATCATATAGGGTTATTACCAATCGTTACACTATCTTTTGTTTTGTTTTGGTACTGAGATTGAACCCAAGAGTGCTTAACCCCTGAGCAACATCCCCACTCCTTATTTTATTTTTATTTTTTTTATTTTGAGACAGGGCCTCACTAAGTGGCTGAGGCTGGCTTTGAACTTTCAATCCTTCTGCTTCAGCCTCCTGAGTCACTGGGATTACAGGCATGTGCCATCTTGCCCAGCTAATTAGACTATAATCAAAAAGTTCAATAGTATTTTTTAAAACAATTATGTAAAACTAATGTTTTTATATTCTCTCACTTTGGTGGATTTTACACAAATCTACTGAAATAGCTGGTACAGTGGTGCATACCTGTAATCCCAGCTCTTCAAGAGCATCACAAATTCAAATCTAGCCTGGACATCTATGTCAAAATAAAAGATAAAAAAATTTAAAAAAATGGAAAGTATTTAGGGATGTAGCTCAGTGGTAGAGTGTCCCTGGGTTCAATTCCCAGTACCAAAAATTTAATCAATTGGTCAATCATCAATGTATTATGAATGAGTATCTAATTTCTAATACTAAAATTAACCCTTCTCTATAGAAAAAAAATGAACATAATTAAGAAGTCTCTGAATGCATTTTCATTTATGAGAAGACAAAATTAATTAACCACATTTATATTTATTCAAATATATCACAAATATCCAAACACTTCTTTCCATGGCCTCTGTGGCAAAACATAACAACCATGTTTCTCATTTCAACTACTGCAATAACCTTTGGACTGGCTACTGCTTCCACAATTTCCTCTCCACTAAACAGAACATTTGAAGTGATTCTTTAAATTTTTAATGAGATCATGTTAGTTTCCCAGTCAAAGCTCTCCTATCTCCATTGAACCATGAAATAAAGCCCGAACTTAGGATGGCCTTTGAGGCCCAATGTATCTGTTCAGTTAGCTCCACCTCCTGCCCTGCACCCTGGATCTCTATGACTGCAGGTACAGTGGAAATTTAAGAAATTTTTATAATTCAAGAAAATTTTAAAGCATTTTCTTTCATTTAAGCCAATCATATATGTTGGCTAAAAGGTATCAACATGAAAATGAAAAACGTTAAAAAAATCATCTACTTATTTGGTCTTTCTTTCGCTAAGCATCCATATATTTATAAAAATCCAGATGTTTTAGTAACATGGGTCTACTTTTTGTGCTATATAGTACAAATGATAAATGTAATAAGTGGAGAACATGAAATATATTTAGCTATCAAGGCATACTCAATTCCTTAGAGTTTCAATTACAATATTCATTCCTTTTAATAACATTTTCCTTTATTGACTTATGTAATTTAATAATGTTTTCCTAAAAATTTAAAGAAACCATGAATTGATATAAATAAAGAAACCAATAATACATACAAAAAAAAGGATAGGTTGTAAGATGTGTGATTTACTTTAGTTTCCCTTTTAGTTCTTTAGCTTTATATACAGTACACCCAATGTGTTTAGCTAACATACTTGTTTCTCTCTTTTTCAACAGGTTTAGAATGTAATAACTCAAGAATTCGATAACACAGTGGAATAGTTTAACAACTGTTTATGTGCTTCCCATGATATGTTCTCTGTATTGTAAGTAAATATTTACTTTCTCAATCCAGCTTGTTTGTGGGATAAATATGTTCAATTAGAAATTATAGGCAACTTATATTGTTTAAAACTCACCCAAAATATAAAACAAATTTATAAGATTATCTGCTATGAAAGGATGTTCTGTAGCTTAGATTTAATACTGTATCAAAATTAAAGCTTAAAATTATTGTCTATTATGGTGGAATATATACTGATGTTTAATTATACTTTTAAAATGTTATACTTAATACTCTTAAGAAATAATAAACATTTGAGATGTATATGTCTACCCCTACTTGAACTGCACATTGTACATGTGTATCAGAACATCACATGATGGCCAATAAATATTTACTATTTTTATGTGTCAATTGAAAATAAAAAGGTTGTGAAAGCAATGCAGGAATAAAGAACTACTAAGCAGTAAGTTTCAACTCTTAGAAATGGCAAAGAAAGGAAACAGCCCAATTCTTTCCCTCAGAAGAAAGTAAGCCATGAATTGAAGCTCTTCACTTAAAAAAACTATAATTTTTAATTTTTTAACACCAGGACATGCTATATCTTAACCACTAAAGTTATCAAACCTAAAATTTACATCTCAAGCCTTACTCTCCACTTTCCCAATTCTTTTCTTGCTGTAGCTCTTGTCTAAGGATATAAAATCTGGCACCCATGATGAGGAATGCAGTGAACCTTGATCCTTCTTCATGGAAGGGAGGAAAATGTTGGGTGCCTGATGTTATTTTGAGAGTTTGAGGTGGTGATAGGTAGGGTATTGACATCCTATTTCAGAATACAGACAAATTTTGATATAAAATATAATTTAATGCATAATGTAAGACTCTAAAGAAGTACTCCTATCTATTAAAGTATAACATGTATAAAATATAATATTTTTAATCAAGATAGAATAATTTTAACACATGATCAATGTAAAAACACTAATAAGACAATTTATATTTTTCCCATTCATATTTGAAATTCAGTGTATTTTTAAAGCACATCTCAATCCAGATATTAATTTTGTATTGGACATACTTGACTTACATTAAAATATTATGAAATTTACAATTGAAGAATTAGGTTAACAAATTCAAGTTTTCCCACAAATATTTTATTTTTTTTAATAACTATGTCAAATATCAGTTTTAAATTTACTTAAAATTAAGGCATTTCTGCAGTCAAACTATCCACATTTCAAGGGCTCAACAGTTACATATGTGCATTTGATTGCAACATCGAACAACTGTATTCAAGAGAACTGATGACAAAATGCTACAATTCTACTACCTAATAAGTCTTTTATGCTAACTTCTGGACACAGTAAAGAGCATATAACTTTAAAATTTTAATAAAAAAATTATCCAAAAACTCTGACTTAAAGTAAGGTTTTATAATCACATATTTATGAAACATATATGGATAAGAAAAATATACAATAATTTCCAAATAATAACACATGTTAAAATTTGGAGTTTCTTAATTTCAGTTACATTTTCTGCTGTAACTGAAGGAATTATATAATCATAGCCTCTTTGTTTCAATAAGTGAATCAAAATTTAGATATAAAATAAACAAAACATTAATTGTGAAATACACTCTTGAAAGAATGAAAATATAAGCTGCAGACATGTAAATCAAATTCTGATAAAGATTTGTAGCCAGAATATGTAAAGAACTCTTATACTTAATAATATGTGATCAAATTGAAAAATGAGAAAAATATCTGTGCTTCACCAAAGGATATTTATGAATGGTTAATGGATATATGAGAAAATGTTCAACATCATTAATCATTAGGGAAATGCTCATTAAAACCACAGTGAAATATTACTCATAATATATTAAAATTTATAAAATTTATAAAATTTGACAATGAAAAATATTGATAGTATAGAGGACTACAGAGAAGTGTCATTCATTGATGATGAGAAATCAAAAAGCTACAAAGCCACTTTGAAAAACTATGTACCAGTCCCCTATAAAACTAAACACAGATGTTTCTTGACTTGAAAGAGGTTGCATTCCAATAAACCAATTATAAGTTGAACATATTGAACATATTGAAATATATCAAAAATGTATATAATACACTCAACCTACTGAACATAATAAAATTCCAGCATCATGAGAGATTATCATGTCACTAGATCAGAAAAAGATCAAAATTCAAAATTTGATGTGAATGCTGTACTGAATATGTATTGCTTTTGTTCAGTTGTAAAGTTGAAGGGTTGTAAATTGAACAATCTTAAGTAGAGGATCATTTATATACACTTATTATATGATCCAATGAGCCCAATTCCAGGTAAATTAAAAACTTATTTTTACTGAAAACCTATATGTGAATATTTGTAGCAACTTTAACTGTCAAAATATGAAAATAAAAAATCAGCTGTTTTGAACCAGTGAGTTGATAAACAAACTGTAGTATATTTACACCAAGGAACCCTACTTAATTATCAAAAGGATATATTGGTTTATTCATAGCATGCATAAATCCTAAGTGAATTTTGGTAAGTGAAAGAAGACAGACCCAAATGACTAAGTGTTGTGCGATTCCATGTATTGCAAATTTTAGAAAAGGCAAAACATAAGAGATGGGAAACAGAACAGTGGTGATCTGGTTTAGACATATAAAAGAATTGACTACAAAGTGACTGCAATAGAAAAGTTTGGGGGCAATGGAACTGTTCTATATGTTACTGTAGTGCTGAAGAAATTACTGTAGCTATCAAAGCACACAGAACTGTACAACTATATAGTATGCAAATAAAAAATAAGAAAACAAACAGAATGGGGTATCCCAAAATGTAATTAATTAATTTAAACAAATTACAAATGTAAGTTATAATTTCACTGAAGGTTATTGGAAAAAAGGTAGTTATCAATTCTGTAACTACTTTGCAAGTATTCTGGCATGAAACAAATAAGTAAATTGTTGACAGCTAGAATAACCTGAACTAGAAATTAGAAACAAAATGACTAAAAAAAAGCAAGATGGCTAAATTTAATAGATTAACGATGTAATACCAATATGAACTCATTTTTATTTAATATACATTCAGAAATAGAAATACAGAGAGTGTATTTCTATGTGCATACATGAGCACACCCACACAACATTAGCTCTCTCTGCCAAAAGGTTCTAAAAGTAGTGACTCTGCTCTAGCAAAAAAAAACCCTTTCATATTCAGATTCAGCTTTTAAATACCATTCTCCAACATAAAAAGAACCAACTTCTGATGGAGGAAAATGGCTGATTCTAGGTCCTGAGTAGGAAAAATGCAAGGTAAGACTCACCTGCACAAAACAAAGCAAAACTAACATATTGGGACATGTCAGAAGGACATGAGAACCAACCAGAAAGAATTCTCAATGACCAAAGCTGAAACATTTTAACAAAATAATGACCTTATTATAAGCTAAAGCATAAAGCAAAAATCTAATAATCCACACTGATATCTGTAAGTGGTTGAATAAGCAAATAAGTTGAGAGACAGACCTTACTTATATAAAAATTCCAGATAATACATGTAGATACCTCAGCTACCTCACCCCCCAAGATATGAACCTTAGTTCTGTTCCCTTTGAGTACAGACTAAATTAATGACTATTTATAAAGAGTGGAGATTATGGACGTGGGGAAGGTAAGTTTTTCTAGAGAAACCTGGTAAACACCACCCTCAAAAACTGATGAAGTTTACCAACTCCAGTGACAAATCATATTGATACCATGTACTCTGGTGTGATGGGATTAGGACATCAGACTTATGTGATATGCTTCCACAAAATCCATAGTCCCA